ACCCCGCGGCCTGCACCCCGCGCCCCGCACCCCGCGGCCCGCAGCCCACACCCCGCAGCCACCTCTGGCACTAGGGCCCTGTGCTGTCGTCGGACACAGGGATTATAGGAATCTAACCGGCCAGCGGGATGCGCCGGAACCGAGCCTGCCTCGGCCACAGGCTGCCTAACTTCCAGCTTCTAACCTCCCCGCTAACCAGGGCCACCTGCTTCATCTTCCGGACCCTGCCCTCCCCTCCTGAGCCCTGTGCCCTGCTCAGAGGCCTTGGCGTCCCTCCGGTCAAGGCTCCCGCCCCAGGCTTAGCCTGTAGTCCTGTGCGGCTACCCTGTGATATCATGCCCAGGGCTCCCACACACCCACCTTTCCTTTCCTCCTCTTCACTGGGGAACAGAGAAGCCAGGCTGTCTCGGCGAGGGGGGGACTCGGGCCTCTGTGGGGAACAGGAAAGAGTAATTCCCGGAACGGCAAGTGTCAGTGCCCTGAAGCTAATTCTGCCCTCCCTGTGTGGCTCTCTGTCATCTAGAGCAGGGGCTTGCTCACTCTGTAGCCCAGGCTGGCCTTGAACTCACAGAGATGCGCCTGGCTCTGCCTCCAGAGTGCTGGGATTAAAGGCATGCACCACCCACCATGCCAGGCTTCAGGACTGGTTTTGTTTATAAGCATCTCATTATATAGCCCAGGCTGACCTCAAACACAGAATCCTCCAGCCTCGGCTACACTAGCTCTGAGTTTGAAGAGGTGTGGGTCAGCCTGAGAGGTTTCAGTGGGCTGGGGAAGACCCAGGAGCTTGAGGGAGCATTGAGGGGGCTTTGGGGGTCCCACATGTGCTTGAAGGGTTATGGGGTACTAGGAAAGGCCTGAGGGTATCGGGGGCTCTATGAAGGACTGTGTCCCCCCTCCTCACCCTGCCCCTGGTACCTGGCTCTCCTCGGGTGCATCATACTGCCGCAGCTGACCCAGGAACTCGAGGTGGCTCTTCTCCTCCTCCAGCTGGGCCACAGCCTCCTCACTGGCCCGCAGTCGCCTCTGCGTCTCCTCCAGCTCCTCTCTCAGCCACGTGTTCTCCTGGGCTAGCCTCCGCGCCTGCGCCCGCAGCCTCTGCTTCTCAGCCTCTAGCACACCCACATGTGCGGACAGGGCCAGCAGCACCTGAGAGGCACCGGGACCGTGAGGAGGAGGGGACACATCCCTCGGACAGCCCCAGCCCCAGCCCAGGCTTTACATCAGGCCAGACACACCCAGTCTACACAGGCTCCCCCAGATTCTGAAGATAACCCACAGTGTGGCTCTGATAATAAGAGTTTTCCAGCAACCCCTGATTTCACCCAAAATATGCATACGGTTAATTCCTATTCCATCTATTTAACCCAGCGCCTGCCTAAAATCTACCTGCAAGTAACAGGGGTGTGGCTCAGTGGTAGAGCCCCTGCCTAGAATCCCCCAGTGTGGGGCTGGGGTGTGGCTCAGTGGTGGAGCCCCTGCCTAGAATCCCCCAGTGAGGGGCTGGGGGTGTGGCTCAGTGGTAGAGACCCTGCCTACCATGAGCAAAACCCAGAGGACCATTCATAATGAAAACCTCAAACTCCCTCCAGGACCGAGTTCTACAGGAGGACCACATCTGGCAAACATAAAATCTCACCCCTAATGCTTCCTAGGGAGTCTCTGACCTTCAGTCCCTCCTTCCAGGCCTGGTTCCTTCAGATCTCCTACTACCTATACCCCCTCCCCTGTATTATGATACCCTCATTCCTGGGCCTCCCCCACCAGGCCTGACCCTACACACACACACACACACACACACACACACACACACACCTCATCCCTGGTCCTTCTCCTGGGCCTCCCCCACCAGGCCTGATCACACACACACACACACACACACACCCCTCATCCCTGGTCCTTCTCCTGGGTCTCCCCCATTAGGCCTGATCACACACACACACACACACACACACCCCTCATCCCTGGTCCTTCTCCTGGGTCTCCCCCATTAGACCTGATCTCACACACACACACACACACACACACACACACACACACACACACACACACACACACA